GTTTTTAGAGTGTATGGAGGACAACTTCCTCCACAGCTGGTGAGCAAGCCTGCCAGGGGAGGGACTATGCTAGGGCTGCTGTTTGCAAACAGAGATGGGCTGGTGGGATATGTGGTGGTTGGAGGCCCTCTGGGGCACAATGATCATGAAAATATAGAGTTCTCAATATTTGGTGAAATCAGGAGGAGCATCAATAAAATTCCACGCTGGATTTATGGAGACCAGACTTTGGCCTATTCAAGAGACTTATTCAGAGAGTTCCTTAAAAACAAAGGTGTCCAGAAAGGATGGATGTGCTTTGAAACAGAAATCTTGAAGGTGCAGGAAGAGACTGTTCCTATGTGCTGAAAGATGAGCTAGTGGGGAAGATGATCAGGCTATAGGAACTAAAGGTAAAAATGAGGGTTTATCAACTTTGGAAAGTGGGGCAGGCAATTCAGTTTAAGGATGTCATTAGGCCATGAAGAAAAAAAGAAATTAGGAAGGTGAAAGCTTAATTAAAACTTAACCGGGCAATTTCTGTAAAGGAGAATAAAAACCCATCATTATAAATACATTAAGGGCAAAAGAAGGGGTAAATAAAACCTCCATTCTTTACTGGACATGTACAGGACATTCTTTACTGGACTTAACTACAGGCCTGTTAGCCTGATGCCAGTGCCTGACAAGGTTATGGGACAAGTCATCTTCAGTACATGACACCTACAGGGCTCAGGCCAGCCAGCATGGATTTAAGGGCAGGTCCTGTGGCATAGGTAAATAGCTGTGACCTGTGCTGTTTCTGTGGCCTTGCTTTGGCAGTGGGATTGCTAATTCTGCAACATTTTCATTTGTAGGGTTCATACAAGGTACCTTATATTCTTCCTTGCTTTTTAGTAGGAAACATTTTACTGCTTCATAGCCTGGTGCAAAATCTCTTCAACTTTTCATCTGAAAAATGGGCAAAATTCTCCAAAGCAGAAAGACTCCCTTTCATAAGCCTCACGGAAACAGAACTCCAGCCTCAGTTTTTCAGTGTCTTGCCTTTTCACTCAGAACATCCGTTTCTAGGTTGCAAATTGCCCCTTCTAAAATATGCAATAGACAGCAGGGAAAGAGGCTGCAGCCATGGCCTCTCCAGGGCAGGCAACTGTAAGTGAGCAGTGGTTTATTCTTTTATGTTATCTTTTATGTTTCTTTTCATTAAGATGAACAATACTTTTCCTTTATTGGGATAGCTCATATGACACATCTACTCTCATGCAAATACTTACATTTCTAGGTGAAAAAAATCAGCTAGGAACTTGTGTGCTCCCATAATTTCTGGAAGAAATACTTTACTGAGTATTTTTGATAAAGAACATATTTCTCCCACTGGAGATAGGACCAGTAAAGAACAACCCCCTCTACTTTCCTCCTCTTCAATGCCTTCAAAGTCCTTCTCCCCCCCTTTATTAGCTAAAAGCCTTCCTTTTAATTAAACCAGCTGAAGCCATTAACTCAGTTCTGCACACATATGAGACTTTTGTGATGGCATCAAGGTTTGCAGAGGCCCAGTGGCTTATCTTGGTACCACTGGTATAGGCAAGCAATTTTCATTATATCCTGCAACAACTTTCCTCTAGTAGGGTGAGAAGCCAGTGTCAGGTGGCTGATACAATTACAGAAGGTTACTGTGGGCTGCTGAGGCTGTGTCTTCTTCCCATGTAGTTCAAAGACACTTTCCCCCTTCCCTGCAAAAATGGGGAGCTCTCCTTGAGTAAATGGGAGGCTGGATGTCTTGAGGGGAGGAGATACAGCACCCATCCCTTGTGTAGCACTAGGTCTGGCAAGCAGGTCAGAGTGCTGAAATAAGGGAAGCACGTGCTGTTCTTAATTTCTGAATTTGAAGAGAGCATGCAGGAATACAGAAGATCAAACTTATAAACAGCACTTGACAGTACAAGGGGAAAAAACAATCAGGATCTTTCATTCTTCTTTAAGATGCCACCGTTCACTACCAGAAGGGACCAAGCATATATTTTTAATGATGTAGAAGATCATCAGGGTTACATTATTGTAGAATTAGGCTAGCTCAGTAGTTAGAAATAAATAAGGTGAAGAAAGAAACTCTTAATTGCTTTTCGTGTGAAAATCACCATTTGTAATCAGTTTTGTATTTCACAGAAAGAAGATTGTGGTGGTGTGCAATGAGCTGTGTGAACTGGAGATTTCAGTTTGACAGGTAGAGTGTCTACTTAAATTACAAGAAAAGAGAGATTCTCTAGACTTTGGAACCCAGTGGTAGTGCTCCTGTGTGGGCCATTTTTGAAGCAACAGATATGACCTCAAATACATAATAATGACAGCAGCCAGATAGCTCCTTTCCACCCCCAGCTAGTTCTGTATGTCACTATGCTGTTTGCTGACAACCTCAGACCTTTTTTGCTTAAGGATCCCTTTCCCCACTTCATTACTTCTGTTCTCAAGTTATATTCCCTAAACACTAACCTATTACACAATCTCTAGCTCCCTGAAACAGGTTACTTTAACTACCTGAGAGAATTCAAGGAGAAGGGAAAGGAAAAACTTATATTCTTTTTGACTATATTTTAACATATCCTTAGGTAGATTTTATCCCATCCTAGGTAACACGCTTGACCATCATCACTTCTTTTATACTAAATTCCCTTTTATCATTGTTGCCTGGGGCAACCCAGTTTGGCTTCTGCCTTGACTGGGTGGTGAGACTGCAGGGTTAACCAAGCTTGGTAGACCAGATCCTGCCCTTGAACCTCTTCCTTGAAAGATCAGACAGTTAAAGTAAAATAAAAGGTCAGTATGTGAGTTTGGGGACGTCAAGTCAAAGGCAGCAGGGATGGGATTCACTCACTCCCTTTCAAGTGGCAGTGTGAAGACAGTGGTGGAAAGATGTGTGGGTCCAACCCTCCGAACAAATTGTGTGATCCAGGCTCCAGAAGCAGCTTTTTCATTTATTCAATACTTGTGTAAACTACAGACATAGTGTAGGGAGCAAAACCGAGCAGGCAGTCCTCTCCCTTCTCATCTGAATATCATAACTGATAGGTTGAAAGTCACATTTCCCTTTGTGCTGCTTTTTTTCTGTCTCCACTCAGGATTCTCTGGGGTACAGGCAGGATCCTATTTAACACCGCTGTGAAACAACAGCCTATTTCACATAATTTTGCATTAGCATAATAACCAGAAAAAGACTCCTGTGAGTTCTAAAGAACCTTAAAAGCATGATTTAAAAAAAAAAATTGTATCTCAGCATCTGAGATGATGGAGATCATCAGATCTGTACTCCACTTAGCTACATTTTCACACCCTGATTGCTCCTCCTGCAGTAGGTACCACGCAATATGGGAAAAAATGGTGTGGTGGAAAAGCTAAGGATGAGGTTCAGGCTGCATTTGAGAAGCCTCCCAACCTTCTGGCCCAGAATCACACTGCCTGTGTGTGCACAGTGGTGCCCTGCCCACAGGAACCAGTGACATGGCAGTGCTTGTGGCTGCAGGTGATGGGTCTGACCTTGAAGACACATCCTCCACAGAGCTGTTGCACAGCTGGGTTGGATTTTCAGGCCACCTGAGTGTCTAATGGGCCAGGTGCACAGCTCTATGGATCTCTTTGGACCCAGGTACATGAATGACTTTGCTTGTAGCAATGAGGGTGCACAGCAAGATATGAGGTAAAACAGGAGAAAAGGAGACAGGGGATGTCTGAGGTGATTTCATGGCATTCATTAAAGCAGAAGAGCTCAGAGGAAAAATGTCCCCAAAAAACTTAGTACTTGATGATTTTGCCCCACTAGCGAGCCTAAACAGTGTGCTGCTTCCCTCCATAGAGATTTGCTGTCATCTATACCAGTAGGAAGTATAAAATATAAATTTCATAAATTTATCATCCTCAAACACTGCCAAGTACATTGAAAAAAATGTCCTGGCAACTGGAAAAAGGTTTCCAAAAAGAAAAACAACGTTTTCTTCTAAACATCCTCATTTTAAAGGGGTCTGTCACAGCAACCAACTTCCATCAACCTCCAGTACTATTTTGTAGCTGCCAAGTGCCACCAAGGCCACCAGGGCATGGGCCAGGAGGGGAGAGACAAGAAGGTGAGGACCAAAGGCAAGGGCAGTTGGGTGTCCCCAGGGCCCCTCAGAACACAGGGACAGCTGAAGCTGCCTCCTCACAGACACTGCTGGCACTGCTCTGAGGTCTGCCCTGCCTCATGCTGCTGGTGTGGTAGAATGGGTGGCAATGAGTCTCAGATGGGTTTACACTGTGACTGCAGATTTGGACAGAGGGGAAGAATTCATCTCCACATATAGGGAATTTGTTTTATTTTTCTCTTTCTCATCCCAGTTTTCTCTTTCTCCCCCTGTCCTGCCTCAAGCCTGCAGTGCTGAACTGGCAACATCTCCTGCCTTCCCCCTGCAGTGAATCACCACCTCTCAAACACAACAAGGGGTGCTGACTCCTCTGCCTGATTGTTTAGGGAAGATGCTGTACTTGGAGACAGAAAGCTCATCTCCACCTGGAGAGGTGCAAAAGCCCTTCTGAAGGGATGATGAAAAGCAGTGCTTGGGATCTATGGATCAGTGCCATGGGGCTGTGTCACAAACAAGTCAGTTGCCTTCAAAATGCTGTAAAAAATAAGCCCAAATTGAGCATCTGTTTGAGCTGATGAATCAGCTTGGATCACAGATGTGGTTATTGCCATGGGGCTCTGGTCCTCTTTTCTTTCTCTCCTGAATTTGCAACCAGTCCCACTGATGTGGCAGAGTGGTGAGTGATAGAAATAAAACTCTTCCTTCAAGCCAGCTTGAGGTGGGGGTTTGGGGCCATGCTGGTTACAGGGAGTTACAGCTTCACAATTTTAATCCTTTGCAGATGCCTGTATTTGCATGTACTGATCTGATGCAGCTTAGATGAAAAGCTGAACAGTGTGGCCATGACTCACACCTGAGGTAAAAACAGGATAGGCATGTAAAATATCTGCATAAATTTACCTTTGAAAATTCATGTGACTGTCTTTTGAAGCATTTACAGGAGCTGACTGTCTCAAAGTGTGTTTGTAATTGGTTTTTTCGGGACACAGATACTTCTTAACCTCAATGCCCTGAAAACAGAGCAGCACAAGTGATTTCTGGGGCTGTTGTTTTTCCTTGATGGTCCCCAGGGTACATGAAAGAACCTGTGTGTTATTTTCCCCCAAGCTAGTGGCAGACATTAGAAAATTGAATTTAACAATCCAATATGCCAGGCATAAATATGCTTTGCATATCTCACACCAAACCTAAATGAAAGGAAGTTCTGAGTAGGCAGATAGCTATTTTTCAATTATATGGGACAAATGTGCCATTTCTGATAGCTTTGTCAGTAAAAAGCAAGAGCTGGAAATGCCAAGCTGTTTAGTGAAACAGGATCAACATTCCTAATACTTCACAGGATCACTAATAGCTTTTGCATCTTTCAAGACAATCAGCCTTGATTGTTCCTCTGGATGCATTCCTCCAAAATTCATCCTACTAATTGCA